ATAGTCTGATAAACGTGCAAAATGAAGCCCTCGGGATTTTATTTGTCCAATAATTACCAAAGTTCTCAATATGCGGAAAGAACCTAATATACCTAACATTCAAGATAGAATATTTGAAATCAATCTTATGATGGAACTAAAGCTTCTGTGTGATAACTAAAGCAACATTGTGTCAGTTGAACTGTTAGAACACATACACATGGAACTAGTGAGTCTAAATGGATTCAAAGAACAGCACTTATATTAAAATGGTGGACTGCACGATTTATGTATAGATGAAGGAGTACAGCACTTTCTTCCTCCCGGGCAGATAGTACCTTTGGACGTCCTGACGCTTGCACACCCCACCAAGACACTAATCATAACAAGCCTCATGCTCAGCTAAAGTAGCATCATAGAACACATTAACAATATACCAACTAAACACAACCTCACACAGACCACATCACTGACGGATCGCTCAATACAACTACAGGGAGAGCAGGACTGATGTTATTGTTCACCAGCCCGATGGAAGTTCAACTGAAAAGTATATCTGAGCTATAAACTGGCATCCACCTTGCAAGATGAACTGTTAGCAATACTGGTAGTACTCAAAGTTATTGACAACACTGAAATAGACAACTGAATTATTTCTGTCTCCCTTTCTTCACTTCTAGCATTAAATTGTTTACAATCAAATAATAATGAACTTGAGTGTTACGGACCCGAGTCCAGCGTCCGAGCAGGGAGCAGTGACGACATCTGTGGGTCGGCTCCCGAAACCCCCTCCAAATGGACGAAGCCATCTAGTGACGACGGGATATACCGGCCACAGGGGCTGGATTCCCGTGTTTACCAGCTCATAACATAGCCGCTGCTGACCTCTGGTGAGGTGGCGCTTAGACAGCAACGCCATCTATGGAGTGGATAGGTGGACGTTTGTGTCTAAGCCTGTAAGTGAGGTGCCCTAGAGTGTCACCAGTACTAATGACGTGTCTGATTACAGAGTCGACCTGGGACTGCTGAATCGGACGATGGGGCAGTCTACCCAAGGCAGCCAAAGTCTCTCCACGTGTTTGCTGCAGAAGCTGTGAGTCACCCCCGGACGAACACTGCTGAGTGTGTTAGCCTGCCTGTGACGTGGCAGTACCAGGAATCGTTTTATCTGGGGGCTGGCTGGTGGAAGAGACTAGCCACTGTGGTGCGGAGAGAGGAGAGTGATCTGCGGAATCACACAAGGCTCCTGCCTAGGGCTCGCAACCCTAGTATCGGTCGTGGAGTGGCCTACACAGCGGGGCTGATCGGAACCTGCCAGCTACAGGCTGGATTTGTGGTTGAAGGCCTCCACGACGGTGCACCCAGTGGGACTGTGATTTGGCTGGCCTGTGGCCGGGGTAGATTCGCAGAAAGAATCAGAGGATTCATCGTGGGCCACGACGAAGAGAAACAGGGCTACTCATCTTGAGCACCGTGGAGCATCCTGTGTCTTCAGAGGAAGACTAATCTGTATATAATAAGTGTAGTTATAGCAACCCCGCGTGTGACTGTGATATATTTATTTATGGTGGTGGTAGCAATATATATACAAAAGCAGTGCATTTGTATCCCTTCCCCTTTAATTTACTTGCGTTATGGAACACACCCCTGAAAGCCACTACTAACTTGGGGCCGGATACCCAAACTCTAATAACATCAGAGGAGAACCCAGTTGCGACCCAATAGGGCCGTAACATTGAGAGAATCAGTAAGAGTCGTGACGAGGACTCGAACCTATGCTCAGGGTACTCCCAAGTACAGGCCTTAGACAACTAGGCCACGGCATGGTCAAAAGGATTGCAACTTGAGATTCTACTGAATCCATGAGGGTTCCTGAGGCTTCCACTGAAGCCGAGCCAGGGTTTCACACAATCGCTTCCACCCTCATGCACTCTGGCTCTGTTGTCCAGGAATTGTACCTCTAACGCTTCCTCTTTTGACCATATCGTGGCCTAGTTGTCTAAGGCATGTGCTTGGGAATACTCAGAGCTTAAAAGCATAGGTTCGAATCCTCATCACGGTCCCTTCTGAGTTTTCATTAATACATCACGTTAATGTGACTTCTTCCAAGTGCTATATAGTCGTAATGGCTTGGCGCTTTCCCCTGATAATTCCCTCCTCTATTACTTGTCTCCCAAGCCAGACATAGATGTATGCATATACTTAATAATGGGAAATACATCAAAATGTTGTGGATTCCTCTCCCATTGGACCGCAGGAACATGATAAAGTTGATGCTTGTGCTAAGATTGCAGTGAGCAAAGACAGTGTTGAACGGAATCTTGAGTTATCAAATAGGTCCTTTAAAAGTGTCATTAGACGAGAACTCTCAGATGAATTTGAAGAAGGCAGAACAGAGCAAACTGGAACAAGCAGGTCTATTATTCATCACGATGAAATGTGTCAAGTAAAACATGTGTATGGGGCAAGTAATAACATCAGTAGACTAACAGACGTTGTCACAGCTCGAATAAGACTTGGCTACATGTATCTCTGGCAGTTGGACTTGTATAGGGACCTAGATGAAGTAAAATGTAAAGTGTGTGGACAAAGACAGGGACACACACTTGAGCATTATTTCTTAGATTGTGATAAAATTCAGCCATTTAGAGATATATCTAAACTCTCGCTGAAATGGCAAACCATCTTATTATTAAGGATAAAATACCTGAAACCTTTACACTGTATCCATGTTCCGCTTCCAGTAGATAAATGACATGTGAGATTACGAAGCAAGCAGTGTATTGTGAAGACTAAGAATAACAATCAGCAGCTTTCCTGTGACTCTGCAATATCTCCATATCTCAAACAATTATGTATTACCTAAAAGACCTACTATTAATGTATAATGATTAATTGTAAATACATAACTATTGAAATGGAACACTCTCTGTAACTGAATGACAGTATAATTATAAGGCATGCAGGATAGATGAAATTGTTAATGTAATAATTTCCATTGAGGTCTGGTAAAGAACTTTTGTGCCCAGTAATTCCTTTTTGCGCTGCCGCTCACAGTGTGAGTATGGGGTGCACAATAAACTAACCGCCTCCTGCGGCAACAAGGCTTAAGAGATTCGCATTTTTTTTTTTTTTTTTTTGAGAGAGAGTGAGAGTCCCTGGAAGAGGAGGAGCAGTGTGTACCGTGGCATGGTGAAGCAGAGAGTGCTAGCAAGATCCGGAGCAAGCGTCAATATTTGGGAAGGTGTGATTTTCGTGTGTTGGAGGTGGGAAAGTTCCCACCTAAGATAAACAGGTTGGACCTCCCGTTCCCCTGGCACTGTTGGCCGGCCCATTGGCTCTTCTTGGAGATGTTTACCACCCTATCCTGCTTTTTCGTTCTGTTTTAGCGCACTGGTTTTAGTCTTGTTGGAGCGAAGGAAGCACGGGCATTAAGTAAGGCAAGAGAGAGGTAAAGAGGAGGAAGCTCCATGAGAAAGCTAAGAGCACGGTAACATCAAAGCAAAAGGTACTTATTGGATGGGGTAATAATGGAGTGAAAGAAGGGGGTAGTAATGAGAACGTAAAACTGGGAGAAAAAAGAAAAGGAAAAGGGGGTAGGCTTATGTTAGGTCACATTTGTTAGAACGATTGGAGCATTTGAGTATGTGATGTGAAAGCCAGAGTCTTGGGTGATGGTGCCAGTACCTTCAGGAGCCCACACGCAGCCTCCAGTACCTTCCTGAGCCCACACGCAGCCTCCAGCACCTTCAGGAGCCCACACGCAGCCTCCAGCACCTTCAGGAGCCCACAAGAAGCCTCCAGCACCTTCAGGAGCCCACACGCAGCCTCCAGCACCTTCAGAAGCCCACACACAGCCTCCAGTACCTTCAGGAGCCCACACGCAGCCTCCAGTACCTTCAGGAGCCCACACGCAGCCTCCAGCACCTTCAAAAGCCCACACACAGCCTCCAGTACCTTCAGGAGCCCACACGCAGCCTCCAGTACCTTCAGGAGCCCACACGCAGCCTCCAGTACCTTCAGGAGCCCACACGCAGCCTCCAGCACCTTCAGGAGCCCACACGCAGCCTCCAGCACCTTCAGGAGCCCACACGCAGCCTCCAGTACCTTCAGGAGCCCACACACAGCCTCCAGTACCTTCAGGAGCCCACACGCAGCCTCCAGCACCTTCAGGAGCCCACACGCAGCCTCCAGTACATTCAGGAGCCCACACACAGCCTCCAGTACCTTCAGGAGCCCACACGCAGCCTCCAGCACCTTCAGGAGCCCACACGCAGCCTCCAGCACCTTCAGTAGCCCTCACACAGCCTCCAGTACCTTCAGGAGCCCACACACAGCCTCCAGCACCTTCAGAAGCCCACACACAGCCTCCAGTACCTTCAGGAGCCCACAAGAAACCTCCAGTACCTTCAGGAGCCCACACGCAGCCTCCAGTACCTTCAGGAGCCCACACGCAGCCTCCAGTACCTTCAGGAGCCCACACGCAGCCTCCAGCACCTTCAGGAGCCCACAAGAAGCCTCCAGTACCTTCAGGAGCCCACACGCAGCCTCCAGTACCTTCAGGAGCCCACACGCAGCCTCCAGTACCTTCAGGAGCCCACACGCAGCCTCCAGCACCTTCAGGAGCCCACAAGCAGCCTCCAGTACCTTCAGGAGCCCACACGCAGCCTCCAGTACTTCAGGAGCCCACACGCAGCCTCCAGCACCTTCAGGAGCCCACACGCAGCGTCCAGCATCTTCAGGAGCCCACACGCAGCCTCCAGCATCTTCAGGAGCCCACACGCAGCCTCCAGCACCTTCAGAAGCCCACACGCAGCCTCCAGCATCTTCAGGAGCCCACACGCAGCCTCCAGCACCTTCAGGAGCCCACACGCAGCCTCCAGCACCTTCAGGAGATAATTTCCCTTCTCTGGGACAAGAATCTTGTACTGGAGCCTATGGAGGTCTCCCTTAGGATAACACTAGATCTTTCTAGGATGGAATCTGAGACGGATGCCAGTTCCTGTGTACCGGGTCGTGCCATGAGCCACACTAAGGTTCATGGTACAGAACTTTCTTCATAAATCAATGAGGCCTCACCTCACACACAGAACACGACCTCACATTATCCAGCGGTCATATGTCTAGGGTAGAGTGAAAGTCTAATTAAAATAGATGTCACTAAGCAAAAATCACCTAATAACATGGGTACACTAGTCCACTCACGACTGGCTGAAAGGTTGTGAACATGGTGAGTAGTGGCGTTATTAACCACAGTGGGGTATAATGTCTCAGCGTGAACATAAATAACACAAGTCAGTGAACTATCACTTTGCCTTCAAAAAAAACTAAGTCCCAACTGGTTTGGCAAATGGCAAATCTAAAAACTCTTCTAAATTAGTTAGAGTCCAAAATGACTGTAAAAATGACAAAGTCAAGAAACTCTCTGCAGAAGTTCAAATTCACAATGCCTTGACAAATGGCAAAGTCAATTACTCGTCTTCAAACGTTAAAGTTACAATGACTGAAAAATCTCTTAAAGTCAGGAATCTCATCTCAAAAGTTAAAGTCCACAAACCATGCAATATGACTAAGTCCAGAATCTCCTCTCCCGAGGTATGTCCCCAAACGGCTCAACTAATAATATAAGTCACCTTACCACAATAGTTACCATTTAGGAATCTGGTTATAACTCTTTGATACACTGATCTACGCAAATAATCCTACTTCTTACATACTGGTATAAAGTCAAGTGATATATATATATACAAACATATCCAGAGAGCACACACACACGTGGGACCCCTACAACCCAGACAGAGCAGTGAGGCAGCTACTGGCTGACACCGCCGGTCAACTCACAGTACCAACACGGCATATAATAAATAACTCAACACGGAGTACAGAAAACAAACTGAAAAAATACTCTTACGTAAATATACACCTTGGGAACATACGCAGATGTTCAGCTACACAAAATTTGCATCATACAAATATATATGTATATACAACAAACAACAAGCTTACCTACCGCTCCGGGTTGGCTGTACTGACAGACATACACACAGGCAAGGGTGGGGTTGGGGAGGGGGTGAGGAACTGTAGCAGCGGCCAGCAAACGAAACTAGCAGTTGCACACACACACACACACACACACACACACACACACACACACACACACACACATTAGGAAGTGATGTGGTGGAGGCTGACTCCATACACAGTTTCAAGTGTAGATATGATAGAGCCCGATAGGCTCAGGAATCTGTACACCTGTTGATTGCCGGTTGAGAGGCGGGACCAAAGAGCCAGAGCTCAACCCCCGCAAACACAACTAGGTGAGTACAACTAGGTGAGTACACACACACACACACACACACACACACACTGGAGGAATGGTCTAGAAAATGGCTGCTAAAGTTCAACTCAGGAAAGTGTAAAGTAAAGAAATTAGGCGAAGGGAGCAGAAGGCTGAACACAAGGTACCATCTGGGAGGTGAAATCCTACAAGAGTCAAATAAAGAGGAAGATCTGGGGGTCGATATCACACCGAACCTGTCTCCAGAGGCCCATATCAAAAGGATATCATCAGCGGCATATGCTAGACTGGCCAATATAAAAACTGCCTTTAGAAACTTGTGTACGGAATCGCTCAGGACCCTGTATACCACTTATGTAAGACCAATCCTAGGAGTATGCAGCTCCAACCTGGAGTCCATACCTAGTTAAACACAAGACGAAGTTAGAGAAGATTCAGCGGTATGCCACCAGACTGGTCCCGGAACTGAGAGGAATGAGTTACGAGGAAAGGCTAAGGGAGCTGAACCTCACAACCCTGGAAAACTGAGGAGTAAGGGGAGACATGATAACCACCTACAAAATTCTCAGGGGAATTGACAGAGTGGACAAAGACAAACTCTTTAGCGCTTGTGGAACACGAACAAAGGGACACAAGTGGAAACTTAGTACCCAGATGAGCCACAGAGACGTTAGAAACAATTTTTTCAGTGTCAGGGTAGTTAACAAATGGAATGCATTAAGTAGTGTTGTGGTAGAAGCTGACTCCATACACAGTTTCAAATGTAGATATGATGGAACCCAATAGGCTTAGCAATCTGTACACCAGTTAATTGACAGTTGAGAGGCAGGACCAAAGAGCCAGAGCTCAACCCCCCAAAACACAACTAGGTTAGTACAACTAGGTGAGTACACACACACACACACACAGGGGCCTCGTAGCCTGGTGGATAGCGCGCAGGACTCATAATTCTGTGGCGCAGGTTCGATTCCCGCACGAGGCAGAAAACAAATGGGCAAAGTTCCTTTCACCCTAAGTGCCCCTGTTACCTAGCAGTAAATAGGTACCTGGGAGTTAGTCAGCTGTAACGGGCTGCTTCCTGGGGTGTGTGTGTGTGTGTGGTGTGGGAAAAAAAAAAAAAAAAGTAGTTAGTAAAACAGTTGAGAGGCGGGCCGAAAGAGCAAAGCTCAACCCCCGCAAAAACACAACTAGTAAAACACACACACACACACACACACACACACACACACACACACACACGCACACACACGCACACACACACATGCACACACATGCACACACACACACACACATGCACACACACACACACACACACACACACACACAGACTCACCGAGTCTGGGTCACGGGAGGGTGGACATCAGACGGATACACGGGAAATTCGTTGCTTGGTGATAATACTAAGTGCAACACACCGATTAGAAACTAGAAATTTCATGGATTGTGTCCGATAGTGCAAATTAGTCAAGACCAGGGGTACGACAGTAGTGAAGTTGAGGACAACGACGACGCGCACCATCTGGCCAGGTGGGACCCCCACGACTACGACCGCGCGCACCATCTGGGCAGGTGCGCGCAAGGGGTTTTGCGGGATTTTCCCGGAAGTTGTGGCATGTCGGACGCGTGTGAGCGTCTGGTGTTTGGGTATGCAGTCAGGAAAGATGGGAGGTCATGTTGTTGGGGGTGTAGAAGAGTATGTGGGGTATGTGGTAGAGTACGAAATACAAGGATATGAGTGGAATATGTGGAAAGAGTAGTTAAATATGTATGTGTGTTTGCCGTAGACTTAATCCTGTGTGTAGATAATAGTTTTGATGATAGTAAGTAAAGCTATGTAGAGGCTGAGTGTAGGTGTGAGGGGTCCCAACATAGGTGGATATGTTGTTTGGGGTGAGGGAGGGGTGAGGGGAGCTTCCCCTCAGCGCGAGAGTGTTTAGAGCCATTTGTGGTTTGTGGTTTTTCTTTGAGAGAGCAGAGTCCAGGAGGAGATGAGAGCTGCAGCAGGAGGGATGTGGTCCTTTACCTTAATGGTTTTTCGATGTCTTCAGAGTGGTCTGGAGATGTGCACCCCAACAGGCCTCACCCTTACTTCCGCCAGCAGGCCCTCACCTGTCATCGTCAATCACTCCCACCCCTCATCCTCCCTCCTCTCCCATACCATCAGGGGTCCCCTCTCCCTCCCCTCCATTACCTTCTAGAGTGGGGCACCCCTCTCCCCCTTACCTTCTAGAGTGGTACGGACCAGGATCACATACCGTCACATCGACCTGAGAAGTGTCACCACATGGCACATCACTTAGTAAACTCAGTCAAAGTCAGTAGGTTAGCGTTTACTAAAAGAGGGAAACATTTCACATCGTCACGGAGACGCGATCTCTACCTACAAATTGTTCTTGTTAACTGTGATCATTGAAATGTATGCATGTTTACTCAATCTCCAAAGTATGATTTTCCGCTGTTTGAATAACCAGCAATAATAACACGAGATGGTTCTCTGAAAATATCTAGATGTCCTCATGGATTATATCATAGGAACTGTCCATGATTAATGCTTCGTTAAGACTGCTAAAAACTAAGGAAATGTGATGGTATTTATACAAATATAGTCATTTACAGCTGAATGAATGAAACAGCAATCCGTCTCGTTAAGGTCTAACCTTCGTGGCAGTTTAAGGCGTTGTGAGATGGACGAGGTAGTGGGATGGCCTTATCCTCTACCCATCCACCCCCACCAAACCCCTACCCCCCTCCCACCCCCCTCCTTTCTCCTGCCGCCGCTGTTCACGTATCTTTTTTTCATTTCACTTAGACTGACAGCGCACCAGAGGATGGACGACTAATGTCAATTTTCGAGCCCCCATCACTCTCACCCTTATAACCTCGTAACGTAACACGACCAACATGATGACATCGTTCTTGCCCAAATATCATTAATGTAACGTGACCAATATGGTAACTTCGTTCTTTGCCCAAATATTATTTTAAGAGTAACGAGCAACTTTCTGTCCGATGTCTGAATATTGAAATGTGAACCCCATTTAGCCAAACACAATATCTCCATTACATCTCATACCATATAAATATTACGGTCTGCAAGTTTTAGACCTCTGTAAAACATTGTAACGTAACGCAAATCAACTTTCTACAAACCAAAATAACATTTTTTAAATCAAAGTATGACTTAGTCCATATCCATTACATCCCCTACCATATAAATATTACTGTCTACCAGTTTTAGCCCTCTGTAACACAATGTAACGTAAGGTAACTCAGAAATCATCAACTTTCTACAGACCAAATAACATTATGAAAGTATGACTTAGTCCATCTCCATTACATCTCCTACCATATAAATATTACGGTCTGCAAGTTTTAGCCCTCTGTAACATATTGTAACATAACGCATAACAACTTTCTGCAGTCCAAATAACATTATGAAAGTATGACTTAGTCCATCTCCATTACATCTCCTACCATATAAATATTACTGTGTGACAGTTTTAGCCCTCTGTAACATATTGTAACTTAACGCATTTCAACTTTCTGCAGTCCAAATAACATTATGAAAGTATGACTTAGTCCATCTCCATTACATCTCCTACCATATAAATATTACTGTCTACCAGTTTTAGTCCTCTGTAACATATTGTAACGTAACGCATAACAACTTTCTGCAGTCTAAAATGTCATTTTGAAACGAAAAGTGAGGCTTAGTCCATCTCCATTACATCTCTTACCATATAAATATTGGTGTCTACCAGTTTTAGACCCTGTAACACAATGTAACGTAACGTGGAAATCATCAAATTTCTACAGACCAAATAACATTTTTAAATGAATGACTTAGTCCATCTCCATTACATCTCTTACCATATAAATATTGGTGTCTACCAGTTTTAGACCCTGTAACACAATGTAACGTAACGTAACGTAACGCAAATCAACTTTTTGCAGTCCAAAATATCATTTTGAAATGAAAAGTGAGGCTTAGTCCATCTCCATTTCATCTCTTACCATATAAATATTGGTGTCTACCAGTTTTAGCTTCTGTAACATATTGTAACGTAACGCATATCAACTTTCTGCAGTCCAAATAACATTATGAAAGTATGACTTAGTCCATCTCCATTACATCTCTTACCATATAAATATTAGTGTCTACCAGTTTTAGCCTCTGTAACACATTGTAACGTAACGTGGAAAATCAACTTTGTCTGATGACCAAATAACATTATTGAAAATGTCAACCATGTTTAGCCATTACATCCAAACACAAAGAAAAATATTACCGCTTTTC